AAAATTAAAAATAAAGAAGAAATAGAAATAAAGAAGAAAAATAAAGGACATTTGAAAATAAAAATAAATAAATGAAAAATCAAAATTAAGTAAATTTGAAAAAAATAAAACCCCGTGCGTTGGGAGCATTCGAATGAAGCGGGACGCCAGGACAAAGGGACGCGCAGAGCCGTAGGGTCTGAGAACTGCACAGATTCATTATTTCCAGTAAACCCCAGCATCCACCAGCTCCATCCCTGCCTTGTCACCCCCTCCGTGGCCCCAGTGCCACTCGGAGACCGTCCCTTCTGCCCCCCGCGCCGCTCCTCGCCCCTTGCCCGCATGCTTACTGGTGTGCAGGGGACAGGCAATGTCCTGCTCCAGCCTCCTCCCCAGAGAAAATAATTTCTTGATGGATGCATGATGATGCGGCGCACAGGGAAAGCCATCAGGCTCGCTACAAGCGAAATAAAATAAAATTTAAAAAAAAAAAACAACCAAAACAACAAAACCCAACTTTACATGGCATAATATTACATTCTCTTTTCCTAGTTTCATTCTGTACATCAGAACACTGCAAGGGTTTTACAAAATAAAAAGGCAAAGGCACCTGAGGAGTGACTCGCACACGCACACACGCACACGCGTGCACACACACACACACACGCGCGCGCACACACACACGCACGCACACGAGCCGCATCGCACACAAGCCGCATCCATCCGCGGGAGGACTGGGGTGGTTTCAGGGCCCTGGGAGCGTTTTGGGGCAGCCCCAGCCCAGGGTGGCCGGGAACCCCGTTTTCCTCTCAAGGCTTTGGAAAGAAGAACAACACCCAAGGGCTGAGAAAATCAAAGCCAAGCAGATTCAATGAAAGAGGAGAAAATAGCTTAAAAATGGTTTGGTTTTTTTTTTTAGCTTTGGTGAAAACACACTTTGTTACCCTCTTCTGACAAAACACTTCCCAGCCAACACTGATTTATTTTTTTTTTCTCGTGTGGGTTTTTTTTTTTTCCCATCCATCCCACATTACTGAACAGACTGATGGATTTGGTCCTATTCACAGAATAAAACTCTTCATTCCCCCTCGGAGAAAGGAGACGACTTCAACCCCCTCCCCGAGGAGAGCTGCCCATCACTGCCGTGGTCGACGGGCACAAACCCCTGGTGTTGCCCTGCCGCAGCCCCTCGGCTTCACCGGAGCCCAGCCTGGGTAATAACTGGCCTCTGCAGCTTTGCAGGCAAATTTTCAGCTATTTCTTTTAATTTGCCCTAACACTACCAGTGTTTTATTTTTATAAAACTGAAACAGCTCTTCATTTTGGCTTCTCTTTTCAGAGCTGTGGACAAGGAAACGTTCCCACCGCCGCACCAGCGGTGCAAAGTCTTGATCTCTTCCACGCAGAAGAATTCAAGGATGTGTGAAGTCACACAACCAACCAATTTCTCCATTTCCTCTTCAGTCCAAGCAACACTTTTCATTTTCAATTAAAAACAATATTAAAATAAATCTGTCGGACACACTGGCCTGAAGATGGCAATCTCCTGGTAACTGCTTCTTTAACCCTTTGCTGAGCCAGGTGGCAATAGCAAATGCAGCAGGGAAGGGGGAGGTGGGATGGTGCAATCAATTTGTCCAAAATAATCAAGATCTGACTAATTAATTAGCTTCCAGGGACTCTGTGCGTGCTCCCTACCCAGGTTTTCCAGCGGGTTAGTGCTGGTCAAAGAGCCCAACTCTGCTTTCAACTGGCCCATTTTCTCCTACAACTTCAAATATACTGCCGGATGAAATCTGCTTCCAGCTGCCCTCGACCGAGGCAGCTCTGCTCTCTCGGTCTGAGGCTTCATGGTCTTGCAGCTGCTCCCTCGGGCACCACCGTGGAGGTGACGTCCCCCTTCCCTGCCCCTGGGGCTGGTCCCACAAGGCATGAAGGAGAAGGCACCCAGCCCTCAGCAGCCCAGATCCACAGGCATCGGTCGTCTCCGCCTAATTTTAGGCACCCGCTTGGGTTTTACTGAGCCCCACTGAGCTCCTCCTGTAGCTCTGCTTCCAAAACGCGATGGCATCCCTCCAGCCCCAGCGTAGCAGCATGGGCATGAGTTAGCAGGGCTACGGCTATGAGCGGAGAGCCGTCCTCGCCAAGATCCCCTCCAGCTCCCATCTGAACCTTGACGGTTCCCAGCACAAACGGGCTGGTGCTCAGCCCTGCCCATCGCAGGCATCGGCAGCATTTAAACATCCCTCTGCACAGCCCGTGGCAAGAGGTCCCAGGTATCCGTCCGTGGGTGTACCCCGCAGAGACCTCCTGCACCCCGAGAAGACCCCTTCTTCCAAGACTCGCTACACACACGCGTGCACACGCACACACACGCACAAAGCCAAAGTCAACACGGCTGCTGCATCACCGCACCCGACTCCGTGCTTTGTGCCGAGTCGAGCATCACTCCTTGATTGTAACCGCTTAAGGCACAGAACAGTATTAAACGCCGCCCCGCTGGAGACGCTGGCTGGTCCCACGACCTCCAGGAGGGTTCGGTCCCCTTGTGAACGGGGACACCCGGATCCCCCCGACTTTGCAGTCTGAGGATCATTTCCTTCGGCTTGGCTGAAGCCCCTGTCTGTTCCCCTGCGAAAGGTGATGATCGCCACTGAGTATCTCATTCCTCCGTTGGTCCCGGGGATGCTGCCAGCATCGCTGTCACGCTGGGAGGCAACAGATCCCATTTGCCGCGCTTTCCCCAAGAGCTAAGTAACACGGCAAGGAGAGATGACCCCGGTATTGCTGGCGGCAAGGAGGTTACTTGGTCCGAGGCCAGCACCCACACGGTCCGGGAAATCCCTCGCTCTGAATTCCTGGCGCCAACAGTCCCGAGCGCAGCTTGGAAATCCA